GAAGAACTAAAGAGCCTCTTGATGAAAGTGAAAGAGGAGAGTGAAAAAGTTGGCTTAAAACTCAACATTCAGAAAACTAAGATCATGGCATCTGGTCCCATCACCTCATGGCAGATAGATGGGGAGACAGTGGAAACAGTGGCTGACTTTATTTTTTTGGGCTCCAAAATCACTGCAGATGGTGACTGCAGCCATGAAATTAAAAGATGCTTGCTCCTTGGAAGAAAAGTTATGACCAACCTAGACAGCATATTAAAAAAGCAGAGACATTACTTTGCCAACAAAGGTCTGTCTAGCCAAGGCTATGGTTTTTCCAGTAGTCCTGTATGGATGTGAGAGCTGGTCTATAAAGAAAGCTGAGTGCCAAAGCATTGATGCTTTTGAACTGTGGTTTTGGAGAAGACTCTTGAGAGTCCCTTGGTCAGCAGGGAGATACAACCAGTCCATCCTAAAGGAAATCAGTCCTGAATATTCATTGGAAGGATTGATGCTGAAGCTGAAACTCTAATACTTTGGCCACCTGATAGAAGAACTGACTAATTTGAAAAGACCTTGATGCTGGGAAAGATTGAGAGCAGGAGGAGAAGGGGACGCCAGAGGACTAGATGGTTGGATGGCATCACTGATTCAATGGACATGAGTTTGTGTAACTCTGGGAGTTGGTGATGGATAGGGAGACCTGGCGTGCTGCAGTCCATGGGGTTGCAAAGAGTCAGACACAAGTGAGCAACTGAACTAATGTGGCGTCAGATGCCAGGGCACAGGATGACACAGACCCTGTCCGCCTGCAACACACACTTTGGCGATGGGGGTAGGGGACAGATATGCAGAACAACCTCTGCCTAATAAGAAAATTGCTATAATGAAGCAGAATATAAAATGCAGTGGGGATATCAACAGCACACCACTGTCTCAATTGAATTGAGTGGATTTTTTTTCCATTTACTCGTCAAGGAGGACATATGCTTGTGCCCACATCACCCAACTTCTCCATCATAGATGACGTTTTTCCAAGTGCCTGTCATTAAGATTGGGCTTCCCACGTGGCTCAGTGGTAAAGAATTCCCCTGCCAATGCAGGAGATGTGGGTTCGGTCCCTGGGTTGGGAAGATCCCCTGAAGGTGGAAATGGTAACCCACATCAGTATTCTTGCCTGGAAAATTTCATGGACAGAGGAGCCTGGCAGGCCATAGTCCAAGGGATCTCAGAGAGTGAGACACAACTGAGTAATAGAGCATACACACATAGTATATATTAGTACTTCATTCCTTTTTTAAGCTGAATAATATTCCACTTTATGGATTAACCTTGTTTTATCCATTCATCAGTTGAACAATATTTTGGGTTTTGTGTGGACATTTTCCTCAGTTATCTACTTCATGTTACACTTGCTTTGTAATATGGCGACTCTCCATATACTCTTTTCAGTAATTGATAGGCTTCTAAAGTAACTGCATCATTTTACATTTTCACCAAGAAATTTATGAGGATGTCAATTTATCTCCATCCTCATTTTTCTTTTATAAATGGCCATCCTGGTGGATGTTAAGTATAGTTGACTCTTGAACAGCATAGGGGTTGTGAGCACTGATCCTCCTCACTGTGCAAAATCTACATGTAACTTATAGTGAGCTCTCCATATATGCTATTTCTCCTGTGGTTCCGCATGTGCATGGGTTATCTAGTACTATAGTACTGAAAAAAATCCACCTATAAGTGACCTCATGCAGTTCAAACCCATGTTGTTCAAGGAACGTCTATATCTTGTATCTCATGTGGTTTTGCCTAGTAGATCTCTGTTGAACAACTTTTTATGTGCTGATTGGTCATTTGTATTTCTTTGGAGAAATGTATATTGAAATCCTATGTTCACTAGAATTGAGTTATATATCTTTTTATATGTTGTTTACATTTTCATTCATAATAAATTCTTTTTTAAAAACTTATTTTTTAATTGAAGGATAATTGCTTTACAGAATTTTGTTGTTTTCTTTCAAACATCAGCAGGAATCAACCAGGTGCACCAATGTCCCTTCCCTCCCGAACCTCTCTCCCATTTCCCTCCCCATCCTACCCTTCTAGATTGTTACAGAGCCCCTAATTGAATTCCCTGAGTCATACAGCAAATTCCCATTGGCTATCTCTTTTACGTATCATATTATAAGTTTCCATGTTACTCTCTCCATACATCCCACCCTCTCCTTCCCTCCCCCATGTCTGTTCTTTATATCTGTTTCTCCATTGCTGCCCTGAAAATCAATTCCTCAGTACCATCTTTTTAGATTCTATGTATATGCATTAGTGTATGATATTTATATTTCTCTTTCTGACTCACTTCACTCTGGATAATAGGCTCTAGGTTCATCCACCTCATTAGAACGGACTCAAAGGTGTTCCTTTTTATAACTAATAGTCCATTGTATATATGTACCTCAACTTCTTTGTGCATTCATCTGTCAATGAACATCTAGGTTGATTCCATGTTCTAGGTATTGTAAATAGTGCTACAATGAACACAGGGGACATGTGTTTTTCAACTTTGGTTTCCTCAGGGTATATGCCTAGCAGTGGTGGTTTTATCGCTAGCTTTTTAAGGAATCTTCCATTGTGGCTGTATCAATTTGCATTCCCACCAGCAATGCAAGAGGGTTCCCTTTTCTCCACACCCTCTCCAGCATTTATTGTTTGTAGACTTTTTGATGATGGCTATTCTGACTGGTATGAGGTGGTATCTCATTGTAGTTTTTATTTCCATTTCTGTAATAATGAGTGATGTTGAGCATCTTTTCATGTGTTTGTTAGCCATCCGTATGTCTTCTTTGGAAAAATGTCTGTTTAGGTCTTTTCCCCACTTTTTGATTGGGTTGTTTGTTTTTCTGGTATTGAGTTGTATAAACTGCTTGTATATTTTGGAAATTAATTCTTTGTAAGTTGTTTCCTTTGCTGTTATTTTCTCCCATTCTGAGGGTTGTCTTTTCACCTTGTTTCTACTTTCCTTTGCTGTGCAAAAGCTTTTAAGTTTAATTAAGTTCCACTTGTTTATTTTTGTTTTTATTTCCATTAATCTAGGGTAGTGGGTAATAGAGGATCTTGTTTTGATTTATGTCATCAAGTGTTCTGCCTATGTTTTCCCCTAAAAGTTTTATAGTTTCTGGTCTTACATTTAGGCTTTTAATCCATTTTGAGTTTATATTTGTGTATGGCATTAGGAAGTGTTCTAATTTCATTGTTTCACACATTGCTGTTCAGTTTCCCCAGCACCACTTACTGTAGAGGTTGTCTTTGCCCCACTGTATATTCTTGCCTCTTTTGTCAAAAATAAGGGACCCATAGGTGCATGGGTTTATCTCTGGGCTCTCTATCCTGTTCCATTGTTCTTTATTTCTGTTTTTGTGCCAGTACCATACTGTCTTGATGACTGTAGCTTTGTAGTATAGTCTGAAGCCAGGAAGGTAGATTACTCGAGCTCCATTCTTCTTTCTCCAGACTGCTTTGACTATTTGGGATCTTTTGTATTTCCATATGAATTGTGAAATTTTTTGTTCTAGTTCTGTGAAAAATGCCATTGGTAATTTGATAGGGATTGCATTGAGTCTGTAGATGGCATTTGGTAGTTTAGTCATTTTCACAATATAGCAAAGATTAATAACACTAAAAGCTGGTTCTTTGAGAAGGTAAACTAAATTGACAAACCACTAGCCAGACTCATCAAGAAAAAAAGAGAAAAATCAAATCAACAAAATCAGAAATGAAAAAAGAGACGTTACAACAGACAACACTAAAATACAAAGGATCATAAGAGAATATTATGAGCAACTACATGCTAATAAAATGGACAACATAGAGGAAATGGACAGATTTTTAGAAAAGTTCAACTTCCCAAGACTGAACCAGGAAGAAATAGAAATCATGAACAAGCCAATTACAAACACTAAAATTGAAACTGTCATCAAAAATCTCCTAAAATACAAAAGCCCAGGGCCAGGTGGTTTCACAGGGGAATTCTGTCGAACATTTAGAGAAGAGCTAATGCCTATATTTCTGAAACTCTTTCCAAAAACTGCAGAGGAAGGAACACTGCCAAATTCATTCCATGAGGCCACAATCACCCTGATACAAAAAACAGGGAAAGACAATGCAAAAAAAGAAAATTACAGGCCAGTATCACTGTTGAATATAGATGCAAAAATCCTCAACGAAATTCTAGCAAACAGAATTCAACAACACATTAAAAAGCTCCATGATCAAGTCATGTTTGCTTAAGGGATACAAGGATTCTTCAATATATGCAAATCAATCAATGTGATACACCATATTAACAAATTGAAAGATAAAAACCATATGATCATCTCAATAGATGCAGAAAAAGCCTTTGACAAAATTCGGCACCCATTTATGGTAAAAGCACTTCAAAAAATGAGCATAGGAGGAAACTACCTCAATTTACTAAAGGTATATATGATAAGCCCACAGCAAATATTATTCTCAATGGTGAAAAACTGAAAGCATGCAGTCTAAGATCAGGAACAGGACAAGGGTGTCCACTTTCACCACTATTATTGAACATAATTTTGGAAGTCCTAGCTATGGCAATTAGAGAAGAAAAAGAAATAAAAGAAATCCAGATAGGAAAAGAAGTAGAACTCTCACTATTTGCAGATGACATGATACTATACATAGAAAACCCAAAACAAACTATCAGAAAATTACTAGAGCTAATCAGTGAATTTAGCAGTCATGGGATACAAGGTCAGTACACAGAAATCACTTGCATTCCTATTGATTTCAAAATGCTTCTTCCATCCTGCAAGCTTCTGGGAACTCTCTTTATTGTTTATAGCATATATAACCATTAAAAATCTTCAAACCCTCCAGTATAGAGGTAACTGGTTGTGTTTTCACTACAAAAGTTTAGAGCCTCAGAGAGATAAGAATCCTTTTCCACTTGATGATGTTGCTTCAGTTTTAAGAGCAACTCCCTAAGAGGGAGCTAAAGGAGACCGTCTAGGATACAGAGAGGTATTTACATTTAGGTCCTATGAAAAGCATTATAGGAATTAGAGTCATTTAGATTCTGGGAAACAACTCCAAAATGGAGAGTTTGTTTTCAGATGTCTTATGAAGTCAAGGATAGTTGGTTTTGTTGCATAAAGGCATTCTAGTTAATGGAGTAGTAGATTCAAGAAGATCCAAAGATGAAAATACTTTTGGAAGTAATAACCTAGTGGAATTTGAGAATCTCCCCACATGAAAGGTTTGATTACATGCACTTTAAGGTCACATTTAAGGAAGAAATGTAAGGCTTTAGGTAGCAGGTCATAGAAGATATCTTGGGTTATGTGGTTCTACTTGGTGGCCTTTAAAGCTTTTAAAGTATTTCTTCCTTCAGGTTCAAGGGTCACCTGGGAAGCAGGCCACTGGAAAATGAGTTATATTGCACAATCAGTCTATTAATGAATATGGATGAAATAAGGCCTCAGCAGTTGTCCAGAGAGTCTCTGGTCTCTGGGAACCACCATTCTCTCATGGGCTCAGAGTGATGGCTCTCTTGATTATAGCATAGGTTATAGATTTAGAACTTCAAGGATGGAAGGGCCTTAAAAATCTCATATCTAAAACAGCTTATTTTAATTTTACCCTAATTCAAGTCCATTTATAATATACCCAAGAAACAGTCTTTTAGCCTCCAAGTAAGGGCATTTAGTGGTGGGGAACTCTCTGAGTTAGCTTAACTCTTCTTTCAAGAGCTCTTTGCAACATTGAGCTAAAATATATCTTTCTACAGCTTCAACTCACTCATCACATTTGTATTATGCCCCAGTTCAAGACTATTGCTTTATTGTTCTCTCTTCTGCATCTTCAGCTTCTCTCTGCCGTCTTTTTGCTGCCATACACTGTGCTGGGTGATGGGGATATGGAGATGAATTAGACATGATTCCTGCCCTCAAGGAGTTCTCAGCCTAGTGAGAGTTCGACATGTTCACAGAGAATTACAACAGTATGGTATGCTCTACAACGGAGGTATGTATAAGATACTGTGGGGTTCAGAAGAGAAATCATTTGACTGAATCTGGACATGCAGAGGTTAGAGGAACTGATGATTAAGTTGAATCTCAAAAAAAGTAAAGGTTGACTTAAGCAGAAAAAGTATGGAGATTAGAAATAGAATGATGAATTGGGAACTACAGTTAGTTCATGAAATTAGGTTGCAAATGTGGGCTGGGAATAGGCCTTTATATAGTGTGAAATGAATCAAGTGAAAGTGAAGTCGCTCAGTTGTGTCTGACTCTTGTCGTGTGCGACCCCGTGGACTGTAGCTTGCCAGGCTTCTCTGTCCATGGGATTTTCCAGGCGAGAGTACTGGAGTGGGTTGCCATTTCCTTCTCCAGAGGATCTTCCTGACCCAAGGATCGAACCCAGATCTCCCGCATTATAGGCAGACACTTTACTGTCTGAGCCACAGGGAAGTCTTATTTTGAATCAAAGCAAATTAAATTTGGATTTCATTTTGAGTGTTTAAGAAGGGGATGCTTTTGATGGTCACTGCGGTAGTAGTAAGTTATGTAAGATTTTCAGATTAGACAGGGAAATCAGTTAGAAGGATAATATAGTAGTTAAGATGATAAATGATCTAAGGCTGGAAGGAGTGACAATGAAGATAACCTCTTAAATACAATGTTAAACAAATTATAGATATAATTAGAACATGGGAAAATTTAGGCTTTCAGACTGGCAAATGGGTATCCTCCATCCCCACCTCCACCTTCATGAAAGATCCTTGCATGTTTTTTTGTATAGGTGTTGCTATTGGTTCCTTCAAGACCAGGGCTTGGCTGCACAGATTTTGCAAGTTCCTTTAGGGGGTGGGGCAGCCATATATGAAATGTTGTTTCTAAGAAAGACAACTGAAGAGCCACAGACTTCTCATAGTGTTACTAAGTTCTTGATCCTTCTCATCAGTAGCAGGGCTACCCACACTGTCACATATCTTCCAAAATATTTTTTACCAAAACCGGAGGCTTTTATATTTAAAACCCTCTCAGGGAAGAAATGACCTTGGTTGTTATTGTTTCAATGCTTTATTTTGTTTAAGGATTTTTGAATGCTTATGGTTATATCTCCTGGTAAAAAATATTTACAATAATTAAAAATATAAATATATCCAGAATTTATTTTCTTGTTTCTCAAAGAAATATAAATACAATATTTGGCAAATTCTCTCCTCAAGGCTCAGAGGATTCAGAGAATGGCTTTCTGTGACTAGAATAATTGATTGGAGATTATGTTTAAGTAGACCTTTTGTATTTTCAGTGAACCTTATGAAACTAGCCATACTGAAGAGCAGTGGAGGGGAGAAGGGTTGGAAGAGGAAACCCTGAGCAGGACAACAAAACAGTACAGTGACAGTTTGGGCCTTACACTCAGATCTAGCCTCATACTTACCAATGTAGTTTTGAGCACGGTTTTTCACCTCTTTCTGGTACTTTATTTCTTCTTATGTAAAATAGAATTAGTGATATCTTTTTGCAATGATGAGTGGGGGTGGGAATATAAGGATTTAATGGGATTATTTATGTAAATTGCTTGGAACAGATGTGGGATATGCTGAATGCTATATGAACTGTAGTTGCTGTTGATAATAATGTTGACCTTGACAAGGATTTAATAAACATAGTTAACTAAAGGTACTTAACATTTTATATTGTCAATAAGGATGTTGGGGTTTGCAAAAGAAAGTAAAGCTACCTGATCTCAAGGTTTTCAGTGGCATGCTAGAGGGAAGTCAGTTTTCTGCTGTTATTTTTTTTTCCCTCTGCCAAATAGGTTGGGAAACCAGATGACTTTTGTCCATGCCCTGATCACTAGTCTATTGCATTTGCTCTTATTTCCAAATATAAAACTGTTGAAATTTTGTATAATACCTAAACTGAATAAAGTTATCCAAAAAAATGTAGAAAAATACTTTGGAATTGGTCAAAACTGGATTTGAAACCTATTACTAGCTATGTGGTCTAAGGCATGTTACTTAACCTAATTGAACCTCAGTTTCTTCATCTAATATATAATAATTAATTTTCAGGGTGTTCATGAGGATATTGTAAAGTGTGTGTTATAAGCACGCTATAAATTACAGCTATCATTGTTAGTTCTTGGAACATTCACCGCATGACAGAAACAACAGCAGGCCCTGGTGGCTGGGAGGACTTCATGGATCCAACAGCAACCTGAAGAAATCCTACTCGGATGGATATAATACAACCTGCTAAGTGTCCTAGCACTTATCAGGTTGTATTATCATTGTCCGTGTCTATGGCTCTCGTCTACCAGACTCTAAATTCCTTACAGGCAAGGACAGTGCCTTATTCATCTTTGTATTCGCAGTGCCTAATCCGGTGCACATTGTAGGCCTCATTAAATGTTTGTTGAATGAAAAAATGAATCATCAACAGACATTAATTGGGCGCCTGCTCTGTGATCTCCATGGGCTCATCTTGTCCCCGCCAGTTGCCTACAACGTCCAAGCTGTCTTCAATATGCTTTCTTCTGAAGCTCACTCCTGTCTTCTAATTCTTTTGCCAAGGACTTTTCTGTGTAGTGCAAAGACAGCAAATATACTTCATCTCAAGTACCATCTCCAGTTGATTGATAGTACCTGTCTTTATTATGTTCTATAAAAAATAGTTCTGAAGCCAGGTGTCAACTCAGTATGAAAGAGGATTATAACTAATTAGTGATGTTTGCTGGGGGTGGGGGAAGGGGATTAGCAGCATACGTGCCATATATATGTCATATTTAATATTGTGTTTTCCATGAAATACTCTGTTTCCATGCCTGTATTTTAGTCTTGGCTACTTGCAGATGTTGCATTGCCGCTGCTGCCACCACTGCTGTTACTACAGTTGCTACCAGTTGTTCCCTGGGTAGGACCAGAGTGATCATTGATCAGAAACTCATCTTCACAGTCTGGGGTTTGCTCCTGTTGCTGGTATTCAGTTTTCCCCTTTCAACTTTACCTCAGCTAACCCCTTACCTACATTAACAGGTAGGCCTTTAGTTTATGTTCACCACTCAACAGGCTCATATTTCCTTTTTCTTATTTACTGTGATTAATCATTATTGCTTCATGAGAAGCCTTCTTTCTATTAGAAGATGTGACAACTAGAATACAAGTTAAACCATTCCATCAAGGCCCTACAGTGAATCATATTAAGTTCCCCTTTAATATAGGAGAAAATTGAGCATACTCGCACACTATAAGGTAGGGAGAAGGGAAACATTGTACATATGGGAGACAGATGATAACTTATGGCTCTTAGAACATAGGCGGAGGGTTAGCTTTAGATCAAAGGAGTTACCTCTTTACTGGGGCATAGTGATAAGAATAGGAGTTAGAAACAGTACCTGATAAGGGTGTTGGAGATTTTTAATTGTAGAGGTGGGTGAGAGGAAGCTGACCAGGGACATGATTACAGAGACAAGAGTCTTAAGAAATATCCAGGCCATATCAAAGTGAGCAACTAGTTTGAAACTTGATTAGAGACTCAGGAAAAGAAAAGGTAATCTTGGGCCATTGTCACAAGTAGCATTTGGTTGCCTAGAATTGATCTTGATTGATTGAAGGATAGGGGCTTCTCACGTGGCTCAGTGGTAAAGAATCTGCCTGCCAGTACAGGAGATGCAGGTTCGATCCCTGGGTTGAGAAGATCCCCTGGAGGAGGGCATGGCAACCCACCCCAGTATTCTTGCCTGGAGAATCCCACAGACAGAGGAGCCTAGCGGGATACAGTCCAGAGGGTCACAAAGAGTCAGACATGACTGAATGAGAATGATTGAGGGATGGACAGCTAGCAAGAGAAGAGTTACACACCAGTGAATTTGAGGATCCAGACTGTATATGAAAGGAAGGTCAGAGTCTACATAGAAAAAGTGGCTTTAGTGTGATCAAGATGGGTGCTGAGTCTTTGGAAAACTGGTATGACAGGATCTATATCAGAGACTGAACTTTGGAATGGTAAAATTTAAAAACTGGAGTGATCAAGATACCTGTGATATCAGATGGTTATTTACTTGGGTATTGAAATGACCCAGGATTATAGCAAAAGCTGGGCTAGGAATGAACACTGAGGGCTAGATAAAATAGGTTTCAGTGACTGAAGAATGATCAGGGGATTGGCACATGACAACTGTGCAGGTGCAAGAGAAGAAAGGATGCAGTGGGATAGTAGTATGAGCCTCAGAAAAGTGGTGGAAATTACTAGAAGATGCAAAAACTGTTGTTTGCCCATTGCACTGAGGTTTTGGCTGGCAGAATGAACATCTAAAATGATTCCTTTCTCTATTAAGTGCTTATTCTATGCCTAACATTTTGCTGTGTGCCATATATTTCTCCCTTTTGGTCTGTCACATATCCTGTGTGAAAATGAGCAGCAATCCCAGGTGAGGGTTAGGGTTAGGCTGCAGGCCCTTAGCACTGGTGGAATCCTGTTGCCATCTCCTAACTCTTTGAAAGAGCAGAAGGCTGGTCATCTGAAAGTATCAGAAAAAAGATTTATTTAGGATCAGAATTTCTCCTTGACCTTGATGTAGCTTGATTACATGGTACATGCTTTTGTTGGCTGTGTTCCATAATATACTTTGGCCTCTGAGCCTCTGAGTTGAGGAGTGAACTAGAACTGTCCTTTGAAAAAGATAGGCACAGTTCTTTAAAAACACATATTAATTAGAAACATGACACAGTCCTATTATCTAATTGAGCTTTTAAGATAAAGAGTAGATAAAAGAAAGCCCTCATCAGTGGATGAATAACAAAACCACTTTGTAAAAGCCATTTAGGGTCAGGATAAATCCAGTTTAATGGCCCTATTGTAGATGTTCCCTGTGTTGTTGGGAAGGAGGGCTGGAAATTGATGCAAAGAGATAGCCCTTAGGACTTGGAAGGTAAAATTTAGGGTGAGTCTCTATAAGCCCTCTGACACCACATGCAGTCCTTTTTCTTTTCTTATAGTCTTCAAATGAGTCAATATTCCAATGAAGGTTTAGAGCCAGTGTGTTAGAGTCACCAGGCCTTCAGACAGCCTATCCCCTCCTGTTGGGGCTGCTGTATATTTATTCCTCAGGAGGAGCTGGTAGAAGACTTCATGAAGGAGAAGAAAAGGAAAAAAGTCAGAGGACGACTAAAACCTCTCTTCATCTCATCTTTGCAAAGCATGACTCAACAGAGAGATCACACTCTTGAAGACTCTCCAGATCACAGGTTGCTCTTTTCAATTGCATACTTAGCCCTCTCAGTTCCTTTCTGTTTTCAGAAGTTGTACTCTATGTGTATATATGAACTATCACTTCCCATAAAAAGGACCCCATGTAGTCAAAAATTGCCAGGTCTCCAGTGCTGAAATATAGGCCCCCCAGAGATCAGTTGTAAGTTTCAGCAACATAAGACCCCAACTTTATGGAAGGCAGTTAGTTGACTTGAAAGTAACCCCAGCCCCTGTGTTCATAATCCTTTTTCTTTCAGTCCCATGACTGAGATATCACTGATTAAAACAAACAAAAGCCATAACTTTCTACTGCCTCTGGCACTAGGAGTTATTCTCCTTCACTAGCGCTTCTTTACATCTGTTAAGAACCAAGGAGGTATGAATGCTAAGGTTGGGGTTGAATTTGTCATAATTACTGCTTTAGTTGGGGAATACTCATGTTAATAAGCCTGATACCAATTCCTATCTTATCTCCTGGCAGCCACCGCAGACACTAACCACAGCCAGCAACTGGACCTCAGCCCCAGGATTTACTATTGATGTCTCAACTGATTATGAAATCAGTAGGAGAGCTTGTATCCCTTTCTAGCTTGCTCATCAGAGATTTTAAGATTTGCATACATGTGGTATGTAAGGACACAAATCTTATGGGTTAATAGTAAACTGTCAGGAGTCCTGGTTACTTTTTGTCTCTTGGAAATGGGAAAGATAGGGTATGGGAAAAGTGGAAAGTCTTATACCTTTCAGATATTCTCAGTGATTGCTCAGGACACCCACAGTCACATCTTCTGATGCCTTATCTTATATCATGCCTCTCCTTTCTTCAGAATTGCAGTGCACTCCTTGCTCTCTAGCCACTTTTCATTTCCTGCTCCACACTGATGGGCTTCAGCAAGTGTTTTTTCTTTTCCTTCCCCCAGGCCACATGTCTGTAACAGGCCCCAGCTGGGAAGAGCTTTATTGTGAATGAGGGAATGAAGCTTCAGTGAATGTTGGGAGTGACATCATGTTTCTCTCTGGATATGTGGAGAGAAGGAGTGCAGTGCAGAGAGGAAGGAGAGGGAAACTATGATATCCCATTATAGAGTAACAAATGCTTTTCATTTTAGTGGGTATTAGACCTAAAAGCCTACATGATTGAAGGAAGCAAACCATGATCTCTGTTGTTTGTGAGTGAAGATAGGAATGAACTCCTTATTTCCTTGAAGAATGAATGAAGGGAGGGAGGGAGAGAGAACTGAAGGTCATAAAATCCTTTATTTAATTGGAGGAGGCACTGAGACTTGCTTCATGAACTTGCATTTTTTAAAGGTAGCTTGAAGATAAGTTGTGCTGCACTATTTCTGTTGCTACTTGTGAGAGTCGCTACCAGCCTTTCTTCTCAGGTAGGTCTGCCTTTGTGGAGGTTTCTGTTGACTTTTATAAAGAAAGAACCCATAAAAAAGTTTGCAACTTAGAAGAACCCTCTGGTTCAATGACAGGGTGTTAAAGGGGTTGAGGACAGAGGAAATGGCACAAATAGTATCATATAGCTCCATTTTTATTTTTTCTTTTTAATAGGACTAATGGGCCAGAAACCTTGGGCAGAATGACTTCGGGCCACCCCAAACACCAGATATTGGCATAAGGAAACAGTACAATGAAAAGTCAATACTTGGACCTTTGTCATTCCACAGAGCATGATGTACTATCTAAAACAAAAAAGAAGAGCTGCTTTGGAGAAGGGCTTTAAAAGATTGTTTCATCAGAAGAAAGATTTAGAAGAGGGGAAACTTCCAGTTATATAAGGTGGGCATTTTAGCATTTAAAGACGTCTGTTCCCTGTGTAGGTCATTGAGATTGATACCAGGAGCAGACTGTGGCTGACAAGGCCAGTTTAACTAAGCGGTTTCATGCTCCTAGAGAGATGCTGTCACTCTCTTTCTCACTTTGGCGAATATTCATCTGCAATGAGTCCAGTACCTGAAGGAGCAAGAGAACAAGCATAGAGGGGGACAACAGTATGGCCTTCTGAGTGAAGACAACAGCAGAAAATGTCATGAGATTGACTGCATTGGGCTGGGCTTGTTCTTTTTAAAAAAAACAGTCTTCTTTTTGATGATGAAAGTAACAGGTGGTCATAGTTAAAAAAATAAAGTGAAAGGTATAAATTAAAAGGTAAAGAATATCTATAATTTTAACAACCCAGAAAATCTTAACATTTGCATGTTTCCTTTTAGAACTTTAAAAAAGTGTAACAGTTTAAAATTGACATTGTATTTGTTACTCTCCAACTTTCTCATTTAAAAATAAATAAGCATTTTTCCATGTCATTAGAATTACTTAAAAACATAATATTAAGTGTCACATGATATTTCATATGAAAAATCCATCAAGCAACTGAGAGCTCTTTTCAATTGTTGAGAAATCACATATACAAACCAACAGCATACAGAAGATTTAAACAATACAAATTACAAGCCTTACAAAATGTGAATGGAAACTTCTGACTTGAGTTACAGAATACACAATTCATTTGAAGTACATTTGGAATGCTTACAAGAACTGATTCTTGGGAGAGAGAGCAAGATGGCAGAGAGTAGGACGTGAAGCTCATCCTCTCTCATAAATAAAAATACATCTACATGTGGAATAATTTTCACAGCTTATCTCTTGAACACTGGCAGAAGACCTCTGACTGCTAAAAAGGCAAGAAAGTCACAATGTAACTGGGTGGGAATAAGGAAAGCAAGAAAGGAATCAAGATGGGACCTGCACCCCTAGGAGGGAACTGTGAAAGAAGAAAGGTTCCTGCATCCTGGGAAGCCCCATCACTAGTGTGGCCAAGAACGGAAAGGGAGTTTGACAGCCTCAGAGGAAAATGCAATAGCCATTTCTCTGCAGCCAGAGCACAGGGAGAACTGCACAGATGGTCAGTGCTGATGTCCTGCACTCCTCAGCCTGACACACAGATCTTCCAGTGCTGGTGGAGGCTGAATGCTGAAACTCGGGCTTCAGAAATAAAACCCTGAGAGAGGACTGGGATAGGCTATGGGTAGACAGGCTGGGGGAGGGGCAGGAATCCAGTGCAACAGTGGCTGAGAGTGTAAGCAGAGGAAGCCTGGGCCACCTTAGAGGCCAGTTGCCTTTGTTTGTGGTGGGTATGAGGGGATGGATGGTACTGGATTATAGACTTTTTCCCTGTGTGAGTGCTCACAGAGGGCAGGACAGTGCCGACACAGGCTCTGGGGACTGTTGCAAATCACTACCACCTGCCCAGAAACCAGGAGTGGTTCTGGACTCCTGCTGCCACCCACCCAAACTCCAGGAGTGGTTGTAAACTCCTGTGCTACCATCCCATGTCCCAGGGGTGCACCTGAGCTGAGAACCCCAAGACCATGTACCCACCACTGCATCTGCCCACCCCCTATAAAGGGGAAAACAGCACAGGCTGAGGAAAGAGGCAAAAGATATAAATAATTCTTCAAGACCACAATTGATATATCTCCTAAACTTAGTAAGGTAAATATAGGTGAAATAGAGCAGAGGAACCACTCACAGTTAAAAGAATGAGCATTTCCCTGAAAAAAATTAACAATGAAACAGGCCTCTTCAGTATAACAGACACAGAATTCAAAAGGGAAATAATGGAGATACTGAAGGAATTAAGAAAGGCTATCTACAGAAATACAGAGTACTGTAAAAAGGAACCAGAAACTATAAAGAGGAACAAAGAAAAATTCAAAAACTCATTTGTAGAGACAAAAGCTCAAGTAAAGCCAATGATAATCAGAATGAACAATGCAGAAGAATGAATAAGTGACCTGGAATACAGAATAATGGAAATCATCCAATCAACAGCAGACAGAAGGCCAAATTGGAAAAAAATAAATAAAAAATGAAAGCAATATAAGAGACCCATTGGATTATATAAAGCGTGCCAAACTATGCATAATAAGGATTCCAGGAAAAGAAAGAGAAAGGGGGATCAAAAATATGTTTGAAGAAATTATGCCTGAAAACTTCCAAAACCTAAAGAAGGAAACAGAAGTCCAGGTACAGGAAACACAGGATGCTTGTTTATCCCAAACAGTATAAACCCAAGCAGATCTACACCAAGACATTTTAACTGAAATGGAAAGTTAAAGATGGGATTCTTAAGGAAGCAAGAGAAAAACAGAGTTAATTATAAAGGAACCCCCATAAGCATAACAGCTGATCATGCTACAGAAATGTTGCAGGCCAGAAGGAAGTGGAAAGGTATATTCAAAGTCCTGAAAGGGGAAAATCAACAACTTAGCATACTCTACCCACTTAGAATAGGAGAGAGGAAGAATTTCTCAGAGAAGCAAAAAATAAGAATACAGCAATACTCAACCTATCCTAAAGGAAATACTGGAAGTTCTCTAAATAGAAAAGAAGTAAAAATCCATAGGAAAGAGAAAATCATAATTGGAAAATAAGTCAATAGACAGATTTGAAAAAAAAAAAAAGATGTGTAAAAGTGATAACAACAATGGAAAGGAAAAAACAAAAACAAAACCATGAAGGTGTAAAAGAGGACATAAAAATCATGAAATTTGGGGGTAGACAGTAGGAAAATGTAGATTTTCCCCCCCATAATGTGTTTGAGCCTATATTACTACTAGTGTAAGGCAAGTAGATATAGGTACGGGTTTACATAGACAGAGTAACCACAAATCAAAAGCATACAACAGATTAAAAAAGAACATAAGAATAATATGAGAGGAAAAACAGAAAAAGAAAAGAACAAACAAGAAAAATAGAATAAATGAGAAAAAAAGGTTTAAAATGGCAATAAATACATAACTATCAATAATTACATCAAATGTCAAGAGATTAAGTGCTCCAAAAGACACAGAGTAGCAACTTGGGGGGGAAAAAAAAAACGAGCTTATGACATGCTGCCTACAAGAGACCCACTGTAGGGCAAAGAACACGCACAGATTGAGGCTATGGAAAAATATTTTATGCAAATGGAAATGATAAAGCAGGTGTCACAATATCATATTTCAGAGAAAATAGACTTTAAAACAAAGGCGTGAAGAAAGATAAAGGAGGACACTATATAATGATAAAAAGACAATAATAAAGGATTTTATGCTCATCAACATATATACACCTAATATAGGAGCGCCCAAATACATAACAGACCTAAAGGAAGAAATTGAGAGGAATATAATAGTAGGGGACTTTAACACCCCACTCACATCAATGGAAAGATCTTCCAGACAGACTCAATAAGGTAATAGAGATATTAAATGATAAAACGGAGTGACATTTGCAAGACATCACATCCGAAAAAAAAAAGAAAAAAACAATACACATTGTTTTCAAGTGCACATGGAACATTCACTAGGACTGACCACTTACTATGGCACAAACCAAGCGTCAACAAATTTAAGAGTATAGAAATTCTTTCAAGCATCATTTTTGACCACGGTGGGATGGAACTAGAAATTAACCACAGAAAGTGAAATGGAAAAAAAGAAAAAAAGACTACATGGAGACTAAACAACCTGCTACCAAAAACCCAATGGGTCAATCAGTTCAGTCACTCAGTTGTGTCTGACTCCTTGTGACCCCATGAATCGCAGCACGCCAGGACTCCCTGTCCATCACCAACTCCCAGACTCCACCCAAACCCAAGTCCATTGAGTCAGTGATGCCATCCAACCATCTCATCCTCTGTCGTCCCCTTCTCCTCCTGCCCTCAATCTTTCCCAGCATCAGGGTCTTTTCAAATAAGTCAGCTGTTCACATCAGCTGGCCAAGGTATTGGAGTTTCAGCTTCAACATCAGTCCTTCCAGTGAACATTCCAGGACTGATCTCTTTTAGGACGGACTGGTTGGATCTCCTTTCAGTCCAAGGGACTCTCAAGAGTCTTCAACACCACAGTTCAAAAGCATCAATTCTTTGGTGCTCAGCTTTCTTTATAGTCCAACTCTCACATCCATACATGAC